CTTGTGCCCAGTAACTGTTCAAAGGAAAATCAAACGCTGTCAGGCCATTAGGAAAACAACACAGTTTAAAATTCGGCTTACTGTAACTACTGTAAACCTCCTGTAATAAAGCCCTCTATACATACGACCCCCAAAATTCAAAAAAGCCTCCTATCAAAAAGGAATCCTCAAAATTATAGCCAAAAAAGAGAAAGAATGGTGGTTCCAATACTGTTGGGCGCTTTGGGTAAGTTCAGTGTATCACTGGCCGCTGTATTTCTTTTTACATCTACAACGCCATTCATTTTTATCATCTCATTTAAAGATAAACACTCAACAGATCGAGGAAGGTTTGTGTCTATTCACGAACAAAGATCCATCAGCCACACCGTGCACGATTACTTAACGAAAGCCTCGGCTTTTAATAAGAAAACCCTACTAATTAGATCTATTTACAGATACCAGTACGTTTACAAAGCTCAGTTCCAACAACAACAACAACAACTGTAGTAAAAAAAAACCTACACAGAGAAGAGAAATACTCAAGAAAGAGCACGCGCGAGATGTTTCTTTTCTCCTTTTTTTAACTTGCCAGTGTAGATATAGAGGATATCACATGGCCACTTAGAGATAGGGCCATGTAATGTTCTATTCGTTTATTATATAAACACTAATGAAATACCAAACCATTTCACTTGAACAGTTTTTCCCTGCTAAAAGGCGCGATTTATTATGTAGCCATAGCAACGGTGATCTTTTCACATTATTCTCACGTGTGAAGATATCATGTTTTCGCGCGAAAGCTCACCTGGTATTTCATTGCATACTGTGCATATACTGTATATATTTAGTATACACCTATTTCAATTAAGGTTGCTCCCGTGAACCATGTGTTATAGCCTGCAGTGCACTATGGTAAAACCTTTTGTAGCGGGAAGTTTAACCTTGTTCACGTTCATTGAAGTCCAGTGGCTGCTAAAATTCTTAAGCATGAGTGAGCTGAAAATTTTCATTTTTAAAATCTCAAAGTAAAAAATTACTTATTACAAATTATTTCTTTTAACAACATTAAATGAATAGGCCCGCCTAATTAAGCTGCGTTTTTGCATGGGCCAGAATGCTGGTTATTTCAATAAATTAAATCAATGCTATTCTTTTTTTTTATTATTCAGTTTTAAAAAAATTGCCTTAAAAATAGATAAACACGTAATGTTAAGTTACTTATTGTTGTTCAACAAACGCCTTTATAAGAGGGTTTTCCGATTTAGCGGACGTTCTGCGAAAGTGGAACTATCCAGTTTCAAATGAGTTCAATTTCTAGCCTTTCTATAAGTGAAATTCGTTTAACGCCGACTATTGTAAGTAAATTGCTGGGTTGTTTGTAACTTAACTTTACGAGTGCAGCGCTCAACTTTATATTATTCTTGCAAAGTTACATATAATTCAGTTCACCAAGAAAATCAGGATTCAAAGAAGTTATTTCCATGGCCAACTCTTTAGAGTCTCAGGCTCAAGAAGACGAGAAAAAAAAGGGAATATTCCTCTTCAGCCCCCAACAAATCACGGCACGTAAATAGTGCAAGCAAAAATCACAATACACCGTGAAATTCGGGCTTTGCACTCTCAGAAACAAAGCTGCTAAAGTATGGAAGGCGATAATGTTTCTCAGATGCTGGGATTTTATACGGAGCGTGGGAAGAAGGTTTTCACCCTATTCTTTCTGCCATCAAAGCTAAGCAGGCACTCAGCCTAATTTGTTTAAACCTTCATTTTGAACTAGCTTAAAATGTGTGTTTTTCCAAAGAATATGCATGTAACATATGTGCTGCTTTGTTATTCTTTTGTTATTCAATAAGTTGTCATATATGAAGCTTTCTTCTGCAATACCGCACTTTAGTGGGAACTCATGGAATTTCGCGCCAGTGTCAAAAAATATTTGCATTCGCTTAGTAAGTTGGATTGCACCAATAACTATGATTGCATATTCCGCCGTTTGTATAAATTTATTGAGCTTTTGCCATAGTTTTCAACCCTCACCCTAACCCACAAAATGCACAGAGTCGAATAGATATCCACAAGTAGACAAAATTGCGAGATGCGATGCCTGGAGACTTCCCAGCGTCTTTCCCAATTTGTAGGAGAGGATATATACAATGTTGTTCCTTTTCTGTTTTCAAATTATCGCATTTATATGGCACTCGATGAGGCGATGAAAACGACTCTTATTTACGTTTGACGTAGCAAATATAGAAATAGCCTGCGATAAGGCCTCCGAAAGAAAATGGGAAAATCTAAGGACCGCCTGATCGCAGGTTAATGAAGAAATATTAGATATCGTCCCAGGATATCACCCAGCAAACAAAAGCAGAATTGTTTACTTTTTTCCTTGTTAGCGTATATGCTTTATCTTTTTTAAACGACTTTCAAAAACCGTTAGCACCGAGTGTGAATTTATTTGCAGCATATGCGTATCGGCCGAATGCGACTGCTAGACACAAATACTACAAGTGAATCCTCTTGTTTTAGAAAAAATTTACTAAGCATGTTTGTGCTCATTTATCCTTTCACGAGCCAGATATTTTGCATAAACAATGATATCATGCAAAGATTTACTTATGGCGATAAAAATCGAGATGACCGTTTAAAGTATAATGGAATCAATTTCACATCTCGGAAAAATGGCTCGAACTTCCGCTAAATCGGAAAACCCTCTTGAATTTTATTTGATATTTTTTAACTCCATCAAAATTCCCACGTGCACGGAACCAAGCAAACTCGTTGAAAATTTGCAGCATATGCATATTACCACAGAGAAAAACCTAACCTCAAATCACTGTCTTAAATTAAAAAGCCTAGGATTTAGTGTTTTGAAATACATTGTCTTAACGTTCTGCTGACATAGCATAGAAGCGTCAGCAGCGTTTGCTTTCTACGTTTCTAGGCTCGTTGCTGGCACATAATAACCTTAATTGAAATAGGTGTATACTAAAACAGTGGATAGTGTTTTTCGCGAGCTCTGATTGGCTACTCAATCAGTGAATATCCTGCAATATACTGATGCAAATCTCGCAGTTGACCATTTTTGCGCTGCGAAATTTCTGTCGGTTTAAATAAAGAAACAAAAATCTCGCAGTTAACCATTTTTCATTAACTGCGAAATTTCTCTCGGTTTATATAAAGGAATACAAATCACGCACTTAACCATTTTTTCATTAACTGCGAAATGTCTCTCTGTTTATATAGACGAATAAAAATCTCGCACTTCACCATTTTTCGTTAACTGCAAAATTTCTCTCTGTTACAATGAAGAAACAAAAATCTCGCAGTTAACCACATATCATTAACTGCGAAATGTCTCTCTGTTTATGTGAAGCAACAGAAATCTCGCAGTTAACCATTTTCGTTAACTGCGAAATGTCTCTCTGTTTACGTGAAGAAACAAAAATCTCGCAGTTAACCCCCGGGGGCCCATGTACTTGGGTTTATTTTTGCTGGGTATGTGCCGCTGGCCTCTCAGAGCCCCTACCCCCATTATAGTCTATTCTGTGGCCAATTGTATACCCCATCGTCACTTTTGGGCAAATATGTAATTTTTGCGATCCCAGCTTAGTCACTTTCTACTTTTATGAATTGACCCATTCTTTTAGATTGAATGAAAAACAATTTACTTTTCACCCGCAGTACAAACATTCTGGTACGTTTGCTAATCGTGCGTGTCAATGGAAGAAAAAATTCATATAGTACGATAGCATCTTTAAATGAGCCCACAGAAGCGTTAAAAATGAGGAAAAAAAGAGAAGCACCGAAGCAAAGTTTATTTACACTCCACAAATTCGGGACGTTGCCGTACTCCCAACATCTTTTTATCATTTGAGTCTGGGGCAAAACAACGCCCTGTTACTTTAATCTTTAAAGTTGTTGAGAGGGGGCTCTACTCATCCTTTCTTGAAGCAACTCTGATTACAGATATCATCCCTAAAAGTGCCAAGATTATGCTTCTTACAGGTGTCAGAAACCAAGCTATAACGAGAAGACTGTGATTGAAGACCATCCTCAGGTCTCCAGAGTGCATAAGCAGAGATAAATTGATGGTTATAACTACGCCTTCTTTACATTCGATCACCAAACACAGGTTGCCAAATTGGGAACTTTTGATTTTATATTGGTTGCCTATTAAATATTTTTCGAATTGCCATGGCAACTGAAAAGGTACCAGCTTGCAATGCTGTTACCCATGATTGTCTTCTACAATGTCATTGTGAAAAAAATAGCTGATGTCCTAATTGAAATAGAACCTCATGATACTTTTCAATTCAGAGTGCCTATTCCAGAATCAGAATAGAAGGCATAATCCCTAGAATTCATTAAATGAATATTTTGTTTTTGCATTCTGTGCAAAGTAGCTTATCGAAATCTACTTGAGCAAATATTTAGATACTATCAGCATTCCAGTGTTCCAAAAACCACTAGCAAATGAGAGTTGCAAGAACTTTGGGGTATTCTTATTTCATGCGACGAGACAAACGCACCCTCAATTAACAGGAACAATTCCAGAAAGAAAATTAAATTTGGTCAACAACTTAATGAGTGTCATGAAAAAAAGAAAAAAGCTGGTGAAAAAGTCCAAAATGAAATAGATCCTCCCAACGGCCCTGACACCCAATGCAAAAATGGCCACCAATTTAAATATTCTTTTTTTTAAATTAAAAAGAGCCTTGCTAACCATGTTATCAAGATAAAAATTCCAAAGAATGTCTTATTTTAAAAGAGGTTACTCAGCTAGGGTGATTTTATTAATATAAACGAAAGAATATTAAACTAGTGGCCACTTTCGCATTGGATATACGCTACTATTCATTTCTAGGTGAACAATTTGATTTATTACAAAAAAAGGTCAGCAACTTCAAACTCACAGAGAAATATCTGATAAACATTTCCTGATCATAAATTGGAAACTCTATGGTCCAGAATATTCTTCAATTTAATTAACAGGAACAATTTGACGTATTAACCATTCACAAATAAAAAAAAATTGGTCAACAACTTTAGCAAGAAATATTCACAGGTACCTTGATATCTGTCAATAAAAAAAATATTTCTTGTAATGAAAACAATGGTTCTACAGTAGCGATGCCATATTTTCTTGAAGTAGAAGTGCATTCTATAATTCATTCTGTGCAAAAGATTTAAAAAGACACGACTAACTTAACCAGGAGAAGTACTTTTTTGTTTCAAGATCTAGTTTTGATATTTAGCAATTATTGAATGAGGCTGAGTAGGATATGAAGAATTCTGCAGATCGAATTTCGCAGTTAATGAAAAATTGTTAACTGCGAGATTTGTGTTCTTTCATGGAGAAATTTCGCAGTTAACGAAAATGGTTCAGTGCGAGATTTGAGTTTTTAGCATAAACGGACAGAAATTTCGCTGTTAACGAAAAATTGTTAACTGCGAGATTTGTGTTCTTTCATGGAGAAATCTCGCAGTTAATGAAAATGGTTCAGTGCGAGATTTGAGTTTTTAGTATAAACGGACAGAAATTTCGCTGTTAACGAAAAATTGTTAAGTGTGAGAGTTTTGCTTCTTTCATATATCAGCCGAAAGAAATTTCGCAGTTAACGAAAAATAGTTGAGTGCGAGATTTATGTTTCTTAGTATAAACAGAGAGAAATTTCGCAGTTAACGAAAAATGGTTAAGTGCGAGATTTGTATCAGTGTCATTAATATGTATTTAGAGTAAAACTTCGCAATTAACTAATTGCAAAATTTTGCTTCGTATATGTAAGTAAGAAAAAAACTCGCAATTAATTAATTGCGAAGTTTGACTCCGTATCTACACAGAGTCGTTTATTTGCGAATTTTTGTTTGTCTCTGTAGAGGTACTTAAGTGCAAAATTTGCATTTATCAAATCAACGCATACCTCCCCTCCTTTTCTTCAAATGTTGTACATTTGTTGTTATTCCAACCACAGTAAGGATCCAAACTCGAAACACAAGTCCTGGCAAAATAAAATTAACAATCTTAATTCACAGTTGACAGGTATACTGCAACAAACCCACGTGTTTTTCCTGACGAACGCAAAGAGGAAAATTTTCAGATAAAACAACTTGACCTTAAAAGTTTAACTATCCTTTAGACATTCACCTTCAAACTGATGATATAGAACAAGATTTTGTTGAGCACTATGGTGACAGATCAGGCTTCCCAAGGGCTCACAGTAACAAAGGTTTTTCAATGGTCGCTCTATGACTCTTACATGTCCAATAGATCTACTATGAATGCCAGTGAATGTTTAGCATTAATCTCAAACCCAGGTAAAGAGATGCCCTTCTAACAGCAAATGTTGAATATATCTCCGTCCCCATGATTTAATAATGAACACGTAATCTTTTTAGTACGAGAAGCGTGATGATGTCACGAGCAGTTAGTGGACAGCAAAGGCTCCGGATTTGAACGCACAGTAAGTTAACGTTTTAACAAAGAACTTACCTGCAGCTGAGGTATCTATTGCAATGTTCCACAGGAACCTTTACAACATTAGAGCTGCTGCCAATATACACAGCACGCTGATGACAAAACAAACATCATTGCAGTGAAAATACGGATACTACACTGTGTGAAACAAGGCGCTATCATTTATGTTGCAAAGGAATAACTAGTTTCAGACGGGTAACAACACACAGACCACAGTCTGAAACTGCTAATAAACTATTTTTCCGGCAGTAGCTCTACCTTGTCTAGCGGCCATAATTTCACTTAAAGAACAAGTTTATATTTTATTTCATAATCCTACAGTCAAAATATTTCGTAACGATTAACTGTTCAAGTAACTGCCTAAATGTTTAACAGAAAACAGACTCAGAGTATACTTTGTAATGATGAAACGGTTGTTGTATTCACACAATTTTAAAATTTTAAATTTTAAAGTAACAAGGACATCAAATAAAAGGTCCACTTTTACCACTGGAGCTGTACATTGTTTTTTTATGTTTGCTTATAACAATGGCCATACAGTATTCCCCCAAAAGCTTTTGTTGTCGTGTTCAGTTAGCAAAAAAACCAGCCTGCGAGAAAGCTCTCCTATTTGGGCGAGCGAAGCGAGTCTCGCGAGAACGTGCGAGCGAACGGCGAAGCCGCAAGCGGCCCATCGCTCGCGTGTTCTCGCGAGGCTCGCCCAAATAGGAGAGCTTGCTCGCAGGGTAGCAAAAAACTGGCCCGTGTTCTATAAGTGGGATATCTGCACTTTGTAGTTGTACCCAGAGTAGAGGTTCATCCGTCACAAGAAAACAAAGCAGTACATATGCTACCGTAGTACGCACGTCCTAACAAGAAGTTTACAAGAGCTCAAGAAAATACTATATGGATATCCTGCATTACAAGTTCAATCACACAGTTTTGTTTTTTTTTAATTGTAACGATTAACTCACCTCAAACAATTTTATTGTATAGATAGGATCTGGTTTCTGCAAATTAAAAGGAACTGATAAGAAGATACTCAAAGACACTATTTTAAATAATACGAAAAGCGAGTTTCACCGGGCTGCCGTATTTAACCTTGTTGCCGACCACCGCGTGACATTGAAGGACAAATCTGTGACTTAAAGATCTTTAGACAACCATATCGAGACTGACTATTTGTCGGAAACCCTTTCCGACAGCCTAGAATTATTGTACTGCGTGAAAACGATACGTTTACCATAACAGACAGCGAACAGCTTCTAAGAGAAAACAACCCACTATAAAACCCAACACCATCAAAAGGTGTTAAAGCGGGCTGTGAACTGCAAAGTCTATCCAAATTCGCTAATGCTAACATCAATCGTGCTTGTTCAGTTGTTGAATAGGCAGAAACACAGAAATTAGGAGAAGCATAACACTCGATCACGCACAAATTTAATGATACAGATACAAACAAAAGCAAAATTCTGGGCCGCATTGAGAACAACCTCAAGCTCTAGGATGCTAAGTCACGAAACCTTGTACTAGTAAGTAACTTGCTCAGTATTCGTTTTCTCTCAAGTTGGTGTTTGAAGCTCCCGGTACGGTGAAGCTTTGCGTTCTCGAAGCTTCGCCGCTTATTTATCCCCTCGCCAAAGAGACTATGAGATGAACTTGTGTGCGAAATTCTCAAAGTTCCGGTTTTCGTCGGACGCGTCTTCTTTATCCTTATCCGAAAATTAGACCGCCAAAAGGCGTGTGTTGCTTGCATTAAAGAACCGAAAAACAGACTGTGAAGATGGACAAATATGCTTTATAGATCACGCAACGCCCTCTGGGTTACTTGCATATTAATTGATCGGTTTCATTTTTTCCACAATTATCTTCCCATTTTATAAACTGGACGTGCTACGTACCCCAGTTAACAAGCCAGTATGACCAACAAACGAAGCAAGTATTTAAAAGTATTTTACTGCCTTGGATTGAAAAATGTACTGAATATTAATCTTATTGCATGAGAGCAATCCAATATAGTAAATAGTAAACGCAGTGCAAAAAGGAGGAAATATAATGCAAAACAGGGAAATAAATTGACATATCTCAGAGACTGGAACACTGTGACTGGTTAATAAACAATAGAAAAAAGAACCAATAGGCCACTTGCGAGTTTCAAAACCCCTCACTTTCAAAATGAGGCCAAGTGCAAAACCTTTCTTATGAAAATGAGTTTTATTTGTATGAGAATTAAATCGAATGAAAAATTATTTCCATATCACAGACTGAGCACTTAACCTTGTTTTGATACAGAGGCTCGGGGGAACTCGGAAATGTCCTATTAGGTACTGCATTGTGCTAGCGTATACCTTGAAAATTGCGAGTGGAAAAATGGCCGGTGTACAAAGCCGATTTTCGGTCCCGTGATAGAAAATACCATAGAGGAATTGAAAAAAATTTCCAAAAACGAAAACAAGAGGAAGAACAAGAAGTAAAGAGGGCGCATTTTCCGCGCAAACTGATGGTTACGAGCCTGTCGACCTAAACAAACTGCTAAAGGGTTTCTATTCAATAAAGCACTGGTCTTTTTTCCTCCTAGAAGTCTACGAGACAAACCTCAAAAACTTGGATCTGTTCCAAAATCACTGGATTATAATCACCGGATACGTTGTTAAATACTTTGAAGACAGTCCCATTATCTAAAGAAAAGCAAAATTACGTGTGTAAGTGTACAAATTTTAAAATTAAATCAGTTTACCATATCTACAAAGTAAGTCATTTCTCTCAGAAAAACCTAACACACTATAAGTGAAAACTGCCGGACTATTCTATTTACACCATAAATTTTATTGCGGATGACATGAGGAGCCCGTAATCCTAATCTCCAGGTAGTTATTACGCATGCGTGGCATGTATGTAGTCAGCATTCAATTGGACTTCCAGTAAGAATGAACGGAATGTATAGAACGCAATTTGATCACGCGCGTTTGGACCTTCTATCACTCGTAAGTTGATCACGCGTGTTTTGACCATCTGTCACGTGAAACTTACGCAAAGCGCAGCGTTGGAGCAAAAGCGTCTTGACCAGTTCGATCGTTTTCGCTAACACTCCGTAACCTTTGGTTATTACTAGTTATAAAGACCTGAAAGAATGACCCACCGAAAGTAACGGACACAAACTTTATCCCACTAAATTGCAGTCTCAGAAGTTCCCAGTTTTTGGGAAACCATTCAAAAGCAGCGACCCCTAAAGGCTGCTAACGACTATCACAAATCAACAGTACGCCATAACAGCAGCAATCAATGTTACCACATTATACGCGATAACTGGTCTACTTGGAAAGTTTTCTTGGCGAGCTTATAAGTCACGGCGACCGTGAAAATATACTGCTGCCATTCCTATGATGGTCAATGCCACTACACTGAAATAGCGCCGTATATTTTGAATTACCGTACATTGTGCATGACCATTAAATCGTCGTTTCGTTTTGAGAGAATAAACAAAGCCGACCGTGATTTCTCCAATTGGCAAATTTTATCTTTTGTTTGCCCCCTGAAGTACCACGTGACATTGTTTTTCTCCCATCATTCCTAAAGGGCGTGCATAGTTGGCGGGTATCGTGAATAAGGTCTATTTTTCATAACCAACTGGCGCCTACCATATTTGGAAGGTGCGAGCAACATACCATCGATTCCATGGTATATTTGATTGGAAACAAGGTTGATCGATGGTAAATTTGCCCGCAAAAGAGGCTGCTAGGACAATAGTGGACTTAAAAAAAAATTGCACTCCGGATATCCGAAGAATGGGATGCCCAGGGGGCACTCGCTCAGTATTTACGCGCGCTTTTCGGGCAAAAAGAGAACTTCACTGTATATATTTCTCGGGAAAAAGGCGATCGTTGTTACATCCAAAGACGGAACAACGATCTCTTTTTCTCATTACGATCTTTTTCTAGGAAAACTTAAAGAAAAATTGCCCCCGAAAAGCGCGCGTAGATACTGATGCAAGTATATGAGATCGTGCTCATGCCCCCCTGGGCATCCCATAATACTCCTTAAATCCAATTAATTCAATATGGCCGCCGTGTCGGTGAAAAGGTCTATTGCATGCGCAAAACATATTGCTCGATTAACGTTATCTATTTTTTTTTTTTAAGGAGAACTATCTTTAAAAAAGAAAAACATCTCTCTTGAAACCATGCCAAGAAAGGGTATGTCAAAATTTTGAACAAAGCCTTCGAGACGGTAAGCTTTTCAAGAACTAAAAAATTTTCTTGAATGAGTAATAAAACAATTACAGTCGACTCTCGATAACTCGAACCTTCTAGGGAAATCGAAAAAATTCGAGTTATCGGGAGTTCGAGGCAAATAACCTAAAGTAAGGAAATAAGCAAATGGATGGAGAGGGAACGCAAGTAACATGCGCACTTCTCTTCAAGGGCAGCAAGAGATATAAATTGATATTCTGGAAAAGGAATTGACCAACAAAGCTTGATTAGTGTACAGGGATGGACACTGAATTTGAACTGGAATGACATAAAGAATTGACACGGTTGCCTTAAAAAAAATCGGTGTCACGGAATGTTTTTGTTTTCGAATTGTCACGCAGTTAAAACACGGTTCGAGTTATCGAGGGTAAAATTATATACAAATGATCTGAAGGGAAACAACAATTACTTCGAGTTAGCGGGAGGTTCGAGTTACCGCGAGTAAAATAACAGTAAATGTATGAAGGAAATCCACGAGAAATCGGTGACTTTGGTTTGAGTTAGCGCGAGGTTCGAGTCATCGGGGGTCAACTGTATTGAACTGAATTCAACATTCGTTGGGTTTCGTTTCAGAGGCTGTCATAACATTCCCCTTGATCGGCCAATAATAATAGGGCCATTTATACTAGGAAAAATAAGACGCGTCTTACATAAGACGCGTCTTAAATAAGACGGGAACTGTACCATTTATACGAGCATGTCTTATCTAATAAGACGCGTTTTAGCTAAGCCGCGACTTATTTTAGACGAAATGTGCCGTTTATAAGGAAAGTTCGCGTCTTATTTTCCCTCGTATAAATGGCCGTATTGTTCAATATACAGGTTACCTGTAGCAACAAACATGACAGGAATAACAGCTCCACTTCCGCTCTTAACGTAATCCACTACAATTCCAGTAAATCTGCAACCAACAGGAATTAACTTCACCACAAAAAGGAAACATTCACACAACGCTACAGTACATCGGCACATACAGAACACAAAGTACAGTTTTCTTGTTTTTGTATTTTCAGTGAGTACCTTGTTTGAGCTCTAGTAAATAGAGGGGTCTGGCGGCTTGACGTTAGTGTTTCAGCAAGCAGAGGATGAAGTTCAGCAAAAACAATGCTGTCCAACGAGTAACTTTTGGTGTCCAGGTTTTTATCACACTACAACAAATACATTAAGCATCATTAGCACCATAATAACTATTCTTTGCAGCAGGTTTCACATTGTTTTTTTTCATGAGGCAGTTCATTACCAAACGTTCACATTGTTTACATTACTTCAATAACTTGTAGCGGAGAATGGTGGGGCTCGTCAGTTACAACAGACGTATTTTTGGCTCAGAGAATTATCTGGATTTACAGGCCACAGTGTACATGGTGGTAAAGTCAAGCCAAGTAAATCACATGTAGAGTTCACGTGACGTCTGGCAGCATAAAGTCATTCAGAATGAGGACTGTTAGAGCAAGTTGGTAGAGCAGTAGTAAATGGCGGAACATTTCAGTCACACGTTATTCGAAGAAACAGCCGAACAACTGCCTAAAAACATAGGAAAACTGCTGTCAAGTTGATGAATGGCATCTGCTATTTGAATAATATCTGCTAGACTAAACAACCCTTTGGACCGTACCCTGAAATTGTCGAGGAACAGGCAAACAAAGAAAGAGAGGAACTTAACATAGCTCGAGCTAAGCATGTTTTAGGTATTATTTTGAACTAGGAACTATTTTGAATAAATAATAGAACAATTATTGGATTTAACTCGCATATGGTCTGTAGAATTATGCAGATCTCGGATTATCCGCCGAAGCCGATAACACCCTCCTCTATCTCCATAATTCTTCAGGTCATCAGCCACATTCAATAATTACTGCTACAGTGGAATCCCGTTAATACGGTCACCACTGGGCCAAAAAAATTTGGCCGTATTACTGGGGCAGGGTCAAATTTCATGACTTAAGGACTGAGATTTCTGACGAGTGGCCGTATTAACGGGGTGAAATTGTAAAAGGTTCTACTGTTTGGAAGTTTAAAATATAGCCGTTCGCCGTACTAACGGGCGACCGTATTAACGAGGGTTTTTTTACAAGAAAATATATGGCCGTTTTGCCGTGCCAAAAAAAGCGGCCGTAATAACGAGGTGATCGTATTACCGAGGTGGCCGTAAGGAGGGGGTTTCACAGTAATTTATTTTGGGTGGGTGGAGTTACATATTTTACCAAAAAAAAAACACATTAAAAAAATAGAGAATGTCAAATGGCCCATAAATAGCCATCTTAGAAACACAAATGTCAGCTTTTACTGACTGAATTGTGACCAAAAAAAGACAACTCTTTCGTTAGGATCAGGTCTTTACCATAGAGAATAGTATAGCACAATAGCATGAGAATATCATGAACCGCTTTATTCCATCCCTTTATTCTATGCCAGAGCTCGATTTAACGGAAAGCAAAGAAATTTTAATCTGTTTGTTATTAGTTTGTTAGACTTCACTTTTACTGACAGAGACAACTCTGGAAAAGACGATGACTACCCTGAATCATAATTTAGACAAATCTAGAATACGTATCAGTGTATAACTAATCACAGCACCAACACCAAGAATGTCTTGAGACAAACTCAGAAACAACCAAACGTTGCGAAAAACTAAATTATCTCAATAACTGTAGTGTCGCTTGGTATCTCAAATCTCACCTTTGGCCTACTAGGAACTTTTGACAAGTTAACAGGAGACACTGGCTGCCAACATGGGGGACCTCGCTGCCGTTCAGATTTATCTTCCAAGTACTGGCTGTCATCAAATAACTTTACAAGAGACTTCATGCTGTACCTGCAAACAGCTGAGCTAGGTATCCCTACTAGACTAAATAACACACAGTAACCACTTGGTTAATACTTTATGCGGTTGATATTATCCACCACTGACTAGCAAAGTGCAGTGTAGACAGTACAGTAAAGTCCTATGAAGAAGTTAACAAACAAAGGACTCTAGTTGTATTGATTTACAACAGGCCACTTAAGTCACAAAGATTCGACGTTTTCACTCATTACCTTAGCAGCTAACATCGTCATATTGTAAAAATATTTACATATTATTTTTATACTTTTTTAGAACAACTGTCAATTTGTACAGGGAGAAACTGCTGACTTCAGAGGCCCATTTTCAAACTATCTTGAACGAAATCAACTGCGTTCAGGATTTAAAGAAGCAGCAAAGAAGGTTTTTTCCTTGGTTCATCGTGCTTGCATTTACGATGATTTAGGAATGAAGTCCTCTGCCAAGAAGGCCTTACAGAAAATCCTAAGCTCGAAATAATTTCGATGACTTACGTGAAATAAATAAAAACTTACTCTGGTGTAGTAAAGATTCCGTAAATGTAGTCGTCATTTGTTTTAGGATCAGTAGCCTTGATAGCTGCTTCTGTAAATTAAAATGAATAACAGAAGCTGTATACATTGGTGGAAACTCAGTCTTAAGTGCATGTGCCAACAAAACGTCATTGGGAAATTGAATCAATTAGAATTTTCCTGTTTATTTGCAGAAAACTGTTATTACACTAATTGACTATATTACCAGTATTCAGAGGGAAAAACTAATTCGTTCAAGTTATTCTCGTGTCAATAATGCAGGGTTAATGTTACTGAACAGGCATGATACATCCATTAAGCACACATTAAATATCTGATAAAAAGTATCTTGGATATGTTGAAAATCTATTTCCCTTTGTTATGGGTTATGGTAATGCATGGAATGAGTTTAAAACAAATTAAGGGAAATATAAGTTAAACTAAGGATAAAACTGAACCACAACAGATTCCCTAACTACACAGAAAGTAACAGTTAAACTAATTAAACATACTGCATAATTAGCAAAACAACTTACGTATCTCATCAAAATCAAACGGTATGTTTCCAGGGACTGAGCAGCTTACTCTAGTTTTGACAAATGATGTAAATTTATTTTTAAGAACGCCCAAATCTCCACCCTCATCATACTGAAATGCAAAGGAAACCGTTAAAATGTTGTTAAACTAGAAATATCTTAAATAAACGATAGGGTTACGATAGGTTTAGATGTCAAACAGATATTTAGAATAGGGCATGTAATTGAAAGGTTTTCAGCAAAAAGTGGGCAAGTAACTTTTGGGCCTTTGTGATTTTTTTCAAATTAAGCCAATTATTGGGACATCACTGGGATGCTCTGAGGCAGCAAATAAAGTTGTGTATTTATTGTTACAGTCAAATCCCGTTAATACGGACACTGAAGGAGCCATACAAAGGGTTCATATTAACGGGGTGTCCGCATTAAGCAGGTCTGAAGGAAACACTGAAAACCGTTCTCTGCATACATCCACAACTAGTTCGATGTATGAAAATAGTAGGAAACATCGAAATGCTGTCAACTGAAGAAATTTTACTTTCAAGACGGAAAGGTTTCTTATAATAATAATACAGTTGATACTGAAGTGTCTGCATTTTCGAGGTTAACTTTCTATGAGAACTGATCTGTTCATTGGCCAAGAAATAAGTGTCCGTTGTCCGCATTAACGGGTGTCCATATTAAGCGGGTTGAAATTAGAGAAAACGAAACGGCTTTCTTTCCCCAGGGACAAAGCAAATGGTCTGTAATAACAAGGTGTCCGTATTAAGCGGGTGTCCGTAAAATGGGTTTGACTCGACCATGTTTGCTTTGTTTTGGAGAAACAAAGCGAAGACGCTTAACGAACGGTGCTTAGCAAACATACTTAACGGTACGTTCTCTTAAAGAAAGCAAAAGAAAATAATTATATCCCGACCTAAATATTGACTCTGTATTTTAAAACATTATTCAATAAATATTTATGATAATTGTCTAACAGAATATCCAATATCTATCAGTTGCCACTAATTTGTTTAACTGATTTGGTTGGATGTGTTGAACTAAAAACATCTCAGTTTTTCACTTTTCTTGTCTCTCAGTATTTCACATTCAAAAAATATATTCAGAGAACTAAATCTAATCATCATAAAATTATCTTATTATTTTAACACCATTATTTGTTTCACCCTAGTTGAGTCTGTGAAAGAAACCTTTCATAATAGTGTCTCCATTCAAATGAAACTGATTGGCATTGAATTGCCTTTCATGTGAAACATATTTTTATTACAGTGTTTCACTTTTACATGTTATGCCTTCACTTCATACAATATTATTTATTCTATATCCAAATTGATTGCATTCAAATACACCTTAAAAAAAACACCCATGTACTGATATTGCTACAAACCTGACAAACTCTAGCAACTCTTGAGTACACTATTTGCTGTGAGAGGAAGCAATTCACACAAAAGTACTTTAAAAACTAACGAAAAAAGCACACCTAGCTGCACATAGTCTCTGGGGTGTCATGAAAAACATTATGCTACTAAGAAAATAAGTACTTGTTGAAATATCAGTGTATATAATGCAGTTTGTTCAGTGCCTGTTCAACTGTGTAAGTAGGATCTGCCCTATACACAACTGGTATCTTATTAAATTTCATTTTAATGACTTTAAAACATTTTTCGACAAGTTCAATACAATCTGTTCAGACAGTTTCACGATTTGATTTAACAAAATGTTGCCTGCAAAATGAATAATGAACAAAATATTGAAACCAATAATTTGCGGAACCTACGCGAGAACCTTAAATAAAATAAAAATAAATTTATAAATAAATAAATAAATAAATACATGCACCTGAATATAGCGTAAAACCGTTTCCAGGGTATGGATTTCTTCTCACTGTTTTAAACTGATCAAGATACCGAGCATAGTATGGGCACTAGTCTACCCACAGGCAGCCCGACATATTAAAGCTGATGTTCCCAAATACACATAATGGTATTTTATCAAGTTTTACCTTTAGTGAATTTAATTCCAAGTCATAAATCTGCAAAACTATCATGGAAACGATGTAAAACCGCGGTTTATACCTCATCACACGAGGGTTGGAAAAGATGTTTCAGAAGCTCGAGTTCTCTCAATCTGCTTTCATTTTTTGTATAAAAGATGTTTCCACGAGTCACTTCATAGATTTCTTTTTACCACTATTAGAAATTTAAATCGTCCAAGAGGAGTTTCTTTTTCAAACAGTAGTTAAATCGGCTTTGCGCGAAAGGACTTCCATAATGTTAAAGTGGCTCGATACAGTTTTTCAGGGTCAATACCTCCCAAGTTTGAGCATAAACTACGCTGTCATAAACAAAGATTTGGAAAAATTGCCACCACAGTTCTATTAGAGAAACATGAAAATTCGTTAATTTTTTATCTGAAGATTCGTCATTACAAGTAAAAGCCTCTCATTAAAAGATGTTATTGTCATGTTCAAGGTATTGTATCCAAGTTTCATTTTCACGTGAACAGCAGTAACTAACAATGCATTTGAAACATGCAAAAATGCTAGCTATTGTTGTGCACGAAAATATGGAACTTGGAGACAATACCCTGAATAATGAGAGGCTCTCACTTGTAAACACAAAATTTCTGACAAAATATTAACGAATTGTAGCCCTTATTTTACTACCTTAAAATATATCAATAATCTTGAAACTTTAAGGTCATATAAAAGGAAGGTCAATCTCAAGAATCTTAAATTTTTAAAAAAATCTCTCGAGCGGTTTAAAAATTATTCGCTTATTTGTTCCAAGTAGACCAAAATGTTTACAAACCGCTAACAAGAGTGCCTCGATACATACTAATCAAATCCTTCTTTCTACCAATCGGCTGGAACTATCTCCATGATCTTTCACACACGTTTTCATAAAGATTGAAACTTCTATGAGGTGAAATTGTATCAGTATGTCAAAAGCGCTTCGTTTTCTACAGATAACAGCTGAACATCAAGATTGTCCATTTTTTACTGTATTTCTAACCATAAAAACTTTATCCCAAAATATCTAGATAACGCTCTAAGAGATTTCGCTTAAACTTCACGAACATCGTGGCCGCTATTGGAGGAAAAAGCTCCCGTAAACGATTGTGGAAGCACAGTTCCCAATGCCGAGAAATACTGCTGCAAGTAAAATAGGTAATAGCGTCATTTCGTTGCTATGACAACTCCGATGTCACTGCAACCTTGATCATAACAAATTTTCATCTTTATCTCATACAACTGAGGTGGCAATTTTTCCAAATCTTTGTTTATGGCGACGTAGTTTATGCTCAAACTTGGGAGGTATTGACCCTGACAAACTGAATTGAGCCACCTTAACACACAAAATTTTAATATTCTCAATTTGCTTTTCAAAGCTGGTTACCTTAACTGGGTGGTTAAGGTCGCAACACGTGAGGCGTGTTGCTCGCGAAAGAGTGTGTGCTCCAACTCGGTCAATGGAATTTTTTTTATTTCTTCTTCTTCTTCTTACTATTATAACTGCTAAGCCACAAAAATAAAAAAAATACCATTTGTTTTTTAAAAGAGCCATAATATACGATGGATAGGATATATATAACATCGGAACCAAACGCAATCTCCAACAGCATTTCAAGTCTCTTTATACACTAGGTATCTCAGTAAAAAAAGTCTAGTCTTAAGTCGCAGTGATGCGAAGGGACGCAGAAAGAGCAAGAGACGTGGAAAAGCAGTAAGGAGACATTGAGCGGTACACTTCATCCAATTTCTGATTTACAGCCGGTGAACGCTCTGTTTGACTCTGATTCTACATTCTAACGTATGATCTGATTTGTCTCACCCTGCGGAAGTTTGTTTGCGCGTATTGGACAACCCTCATCCTGTGAGCAAAGCTTCTTTTTCTCGAGTCAGGCACCAAAATCGAGCAAGAGAAAGAAAGACTCTGCTGGCAGGGTGGAGGTGATTACAGTAAAAACTCGTCGAGGTCAGGCTGAACAGGTTCTTATATTTTAGGGTAGTTTTTCATAATTCAGGCTGATTAGGTTCTTAACAGGTTCTTACTTTTCAGAGGTTGTCATAGTGTAACCATTGGCTGACATATTGTCCTTCTTATACATAATGGAACACATATTTCAAGTGAAAATCCAAACAAATATAAATCAAAGAAAACATATACACAATAACTTTTGTCAGAAGTTTCTCACACAATTAAGTAGAGAATTTTGACCATCAAAATTGGAGTGATCTTTTTGTATACGAACCTATTTTTCTTTGCCAGGCTGAACAGGTTCCCATATATTTTTGGGTATTTAAATGCCAAATTTCAGCCTGTAGGTTGTTAAATCACTAGGTTCTTATATGCGGGTTTTCCACAGACTCTATGAGCTTCGAGTCCCGTCTCTCTGATGAGTAGTGGTCACTCTACACGTTAAGGACGAACTGAATTGTAACGCAGGCTACTTGCAGTAAGAGGATGCACTTATCTTTTCGAAACTTTTTGCCAGGATTCGAAAAATGCATTTGAACTATGCTGCATATGGGTGACACATCCTTTCCAAAATGATCGATGACAATTATTGTCAAAACCAGTGACCATTCTTGTGTCAATAACAGAGATACGGATACCTCTGCATACCCTGGAGAGGCTTTGAACGATAATATTCAGGTAAGTACGTCATGGAGGGATGAAATTCAGCCCTGTTAGTGTCTTCCCCTGTCTTCCCTTTGATTAATATGCATATGTTCTGTCTTCCTCCATACTAATGAGGGCCTTCCTGCATACTAATAACTGTCTTCTTCAAAACTAATTAAGTGCCTAGTCAGTGTCTTCCTCCATACTAACTGACTAATGGTGCATGAAACGCTGCTCAAGACTTCAATAGTTAGTCCTTTCCTTGAGATAGAAAGGAGAAAACGGTTTTGTAATAGTCAAAGAAACTTGAAATAGAGAGTTTTCAGCTCCACTTTGTGTATGTGTGTGTGTTTGTTAATATATCCGCGTTTTAGAGCTAAATAAGAAGACGTAAGCCGTTTCTCGCATTACTAGGTGATCGCTTTTTTTATTCGCATTTTTTTCAATAGACGGTCCGCAAACCAGACTCAAGTTACTTACTGGGCAAGGCTATTGTTCCTATTGTAGTAGAGACACGTTCATTACATATGGAGGAAGAACCTCATTAGTATGGAAGAAGACAGTTATCACTATGCAGGAAGACCCTGATTAGTAAGGAGGAAGACAGTTATGCATATTAATCAAAGGGAAGAGAGGGGAAGACACTAACGGGGCTTAATTTCATCCCTCCATGACTACTCAGGAACATATTTTCTGCTTAAAAAAGTACACTACAGGGGGTTCCGTGGGTTCCACGAATTATATATGCTGTTTTGACAGGGTGAATGACTTATGGTATTTAGAGAAAAATGTAGCACAGGGCCGGGTTGTTCAAAGCTGGGTTAAGATAACCCAGGGTTAGCGCGAAATTTAAATAGAGATTTGAAAGCTTAAAAAGTAAATTCACTTTTATCCTTTCTGTCAACAGGTTAATGATTGGATACTCTTAAGAATAACAGAGAAAATTATCCGAGAAAATGCTTTTGAACAAAGAAAAAGAATGCCAGGTTAAATTTAACCCTGGGTTAAGTGCTAATCGGCCTTCGAACAACTGGGCCCAGGACAATAAAAACAATATTCTTATGATATTTAATTCTAGGGCAAGAATGGTTGACACTGTGTAACGTTGCTATGCAATTTTTGAACCCACATAACGTGTCTTTTACCGGCCCAACATCTCAATTTTAAAATAATGTACAAATTCAAAGGTCACTGTCCGGTTCACCATATAATCACATCACAGGCTCATACACTCACCTTGTTCATTTCCACTGCAGTCTCTCTTAGAAAAAAGTACACAAAGTTATCTGAGTAATGAAATGATGACACAAAGTTGGCATCTAAGAAAAAAAAAGCAAAATCAATATAATATTGTGCAGTCACAAAGAAAGGACAAACTCAAACGTCACGCATACTTTTTCAGTGCTTTAACCCTGTTCCTTTTGATATACATGTATATTTCTGGTGATTTTACGACTCCAACTGAACACAAAGAAAATTGGTTCTGCCACTGAAAATACATATATCTTATTGGACGGTTTAGTATGGGATATTTTTATGAGTCACGCCGTATTTTTGGGAGCCTGCAGGGCGAGTCAAAATACAGGAGACGAGTAAAAATATCCCAGGATACTAAACACTAAACATTCAATAAGAGATTTATTATTCAACTCGACATGTTTTAAAATAAACTCATTACATAAAACGAGAATGTGTGACAGACTAATGTGACTCCTCTGCAAGACCAGTTTTCGCGTGCTTTATGCAATGTTGTTGCTAGTTGGTCTAAAATGAAAACTTGTCAAACTAGATTACTCAGCAAATCAAATTTTCTCGGATTTCTTCAGTTTTCTTCAGGCTTAGAAGTGCTATCTTTCAGACATTTGCAAGTAAACCAGATATGGAATGACAAATAACTGTGAGTAAACTGAGCAGAAACAGACAAAATGTAACAGCCCTACATTTTTTAGGGTATAAAAGTACAAAAAATTATAATTAATTCTTTGTTAAGGCTTCTTCTCTGGTTGGTTGCAACAACTCCTCTTTGCTGGGTTAATTTTATAATTTATTATACTAATTTTACATTGCATACAACGTTTACCAGTGAATTATTGGCAACAATAGAATTACAGTATTGCCAGTCAAATTATACCTTGCAAAACCGTTTCAAGAGATGTCAGATAAACACCAGTGCTTGCATTTGCTGTAGTCCTGTAAATAACTGAGTTACCCGTGCCATCATGTAAGTTAATTCCAGTGAACAGATGGTCATCTAAACAAGCAAAATTGGAAATTTACTTTTATTTTATTTATAATTATATATTATTGGCTGCTATAAAACACTTAATTTGCCTGTAAAATTCTTAAGGATGGTTTCCACCAGCAATGGAGTCAGTGTTGCAAATGTAATCAGAAGTGCAAAGTGTTTTGATAAATGGTGAAAACAGTGTTCTTACGTTGCTTATGCCGAGTTCATTGCTTACATATGATCTAAGTGTAAGCAAAAGTAAAAGAACTTAACCAATCACAAAAGATGGGAACAAGCATTGTGATTGAATGGTCAGTTTATCCTTCTGCTTCTAATTCCAACTCTGACAATTTGTTTTTCACTGAATGGTAAAGGATGAAGTGACTCAAGATATATAGCAGAAACTTACAAAAGCTGCCAGGGGTACAGTCATTACAAATTCTTACCTGTAAAGGTACCAGTGACATTCTGATCATAACTAACTGGACTTATTCCTTTTCCGTTAATTCCATCAGGTGGCATGGGATTTAAGTTATTGGCACCCTGTCAAAGAAAATTCACATAAAAAAATTAACATAAGATGGTAAAACAACTTCCTTTGTATGCTTAATAGGTTTACAAATTAGGGGCCGACCATTTAACTCTTGAGGGCAAGGGGGGGGTGATTTCTGGTCATCAAGAATTTTTTTTCTAGCAATCTGGTGGGCAGGATACTTTTTCCCCTTTTTTCCCATAAGCTTTCTATTACATTTGTGCTGCATGCAATTTTTTTCTTCCAACAAGCACTTGCAGGAAATTTTTTTTCAACATCACCCACCCCCCCCCCTCCCCCTCAAGAGTTAAACGGTCGGCCCCTTAGTACAAATGACCTTTTCTTTGTAAGAATACTACAGTACTTAATTCTATTAAGTCTACGTCATGAAACATATACAAGGAAGGAGGTTTCTTTGATTCTCAATTTCCTTGGAAAAAATCATAATGGCTTCAAAGGGGGCCTGAATGAATTGCTATGTTAAAAAAGAGCACCAAAAATGTAGCCTTGAAGTTTGGTATAGAGACACAAACACTCTACCAGAATGCCCAAAAATAGCATTTCCTC